GATTTTATGCAATAAACCTTAATAACATAAAACGAGGGGACGGGAGGCAAAAAGCAATGCTTTCCTGGAAATCTAATACAGTGCTTTTTTGCTAGCATCAAAGTGCTATGCAAAAATATGAAATGAATAAACAAATCAAATTAGAAAGCCTAGTAACTGGAGAAATACTGGGCTAAATTCATGCCTTGTGGAACAGCAGCAACACTGATGAAGTACATCAGGGACGGATTTGGCCCGCTACGTTTTGAGCATTAAATTGATGAGGAGCAGTGAGTCAAAAACGCAAATCCCACGCAGCGAAGAACTTCGCTCTGCCGCCACTGCGAGCACCAGGCACAATGCTGCAGACTAGTAAACGGTAAAAATGCAAAAGCTAAATAACTTTGCAAGTAAAAAAATATCATTAGAGAGTATAAAATAAACAGCAATGTTAGGAACAGAGATAAGGTTGTTGTCTTATCAACAACTAAGGCTAGTTGTCTTGAGAAAGACAATTTTTTAAAGTGACTTCAATGGTCTTCTCTCCCGAAGGCCACAAGCAGCCCATCCACCAGCTGCACAGGCTGCCCTGCACTGCTCCTTGCATCGCGCTGCAGGTACTTTCTGAGACACACATCAAGATAAGAAGACTCAGTCATACACTCAGTTGTGTCACTAAGCCCCAGAGAAGGCTGTTGACACAATGGGATACGCCTACAGCAGTACGTCGGCTACCTGTGAACGAACCCTGGGCAAACCAAAGCAAAGCAATTCCTTCCCCTTTTTACATCCATCTAAACAGAGGGCTGTGAACAGTACCATTTGCCAGTCCCTCACCTAGCTGTTGCCTGACCAGTGCCAGCCCACCATGCTGCACCCTTTACTGTCCAGGAAGGATTCAGAAAACCCATGCTTGTCCACCCACCTACCTGTCTGCTCCTCCTAGACAGAGAGAGAGAGAGGCTGGCGAAGGACCATCATGGTGGTGCTTCTTCCTAGTACAAGAACGGATCATCTCAGGACGGAAGATACTGACTATTTTGGACTTGTCAGTCCCTACCACCTGTGCAACTTGGATCCAAGCATGGCCATGTAGAAAAGCCCTTACATTCCCCACTCTCTCCAAACTCAAGCCAGCAACTCTTAAAACTCCACTGAGCATTTTTCAAAAGTCTTCCCCCAATGTCGGCCCTTCCACAGCTTTGGGGACTCAAGGCAGAAAGGCAGATAGCACCCTTCTACCATTAAATTTATTAGAACTAGTGCTTCTGTCCCCTGCCCAGAGTGCAGCAACGCAGGCGCGATCTGGACTGCTATCTGAAATCAGCTATGACCATTAGGAAGAGTAACAGAAAACCCAGTACACGATCAGTTGGGAGGCAAAAAAACCCTGTCACTTGTGATAAAAAAGAGAAACAGAAATAGATTTGAAACATTTGTTTCCCTTTATTTGCTCAGTGAGGCTGATGTGTACTGCACATTAAAAAAAAAAAAAAAAATCACAGGAATTTTCATACAATGAATTAAACCACAAAAGTACATGTAGAATTGGCAGGTGGAAAATAGCCCAGCTTGGGCTTAACTAATATCTTGCTTTCCCTGTTCAGCATAGACCAACCAATAGCTTTACATGTTCACCTACTGCACAAATCTTACAGTAGCTCCATTAGGTCTGTGGTTCACATTATTGAAAATGTCGGTCACATAGTTACAAATTTAGAATCATCACATTATATTACATGGCTATTCTAGGTCATTTATAGATCAGATCTTATACTACAGTGATTGAAGTTCTCATTACAGCCATCAAAAAGGACACATAATCATTACCTACTGTAAGCTTACATCTAAGGGACGAGAAGGTGTGGTTGGTTTTTTTTTTTTTTCAACTGACCCAAGTATTACACCCCAGAGGCACAAACTTTCCTCTCAGTGCTGCTCTTGGTGATGGCAGTCCAACTGCTTTTTGGAGTAGTTTTGCACATACAGTTTTTGTCAATTTTGGGCTCCCTCTGTTTGGATTTGGATCATTTTACGTTATGTAGGAATTACTTTGTTACGGCTCTAGAAAAGACCATAGTTTCTAAGTACCAGTTCTGTTACCTGTATTGCAGATGTGGTACTTACCACAGCATGAGAGCAAGAGTACAATCTTCATCTGAAAGACACACAGAGCTATGCTGCAATTTGCCTCCAGTGACAATGTGGTGGTATGTGTGCTAATTTGAAATGTTCTTGGGAGAGAAAAAAGGAAAAGGAAACATCGAGTTTATATTTTGTTGGGTTACCTATTACAGTGTCTACAAAGGATACAAATAGCTTTATTCAGCAATTCTAGCTCTACATTAATTTCATATGTAATTTGTAAATCCACAGAGGAAAGCCATCTTCAGGATGAGAATGTTTGCCAGGCCAGTGAAAAAAAAAAATGACTCATGTCATTACGCCTGTTTGGTGAAAAATAAATAATCTCCCCCCCGAAACCCCACACCAATTTATTCATGTCAGCAATACAGGGCAAAAGAGAATGTATTTCAAATTTAATCACAGAAATTTAAAGGCAAAATAGGTAATGCATCTGGTCCTTGAACACATAATATGATATACTAAATATTGATTTCTTAAAAATAATTTATTGCTTTTAATATTTTTCTTTACAACAGAAGATACTCAAAATCCAGAAAGGAAAATTGTAAACTTTTAGTTTGGCATTCACACAAAGTTAAAATACCTGCATTTTTAACCTACAGAGCAACAACAAGAATTATGCAGATTAAAGAATGTTACAGTTGTAACACAGAACCTCCGGAAAAGTTCTTTTTTTTTTTTTTTTTTTTTTATTGCTATCTATCTACTGAGAAATAAGAAGCCAAAAAATCAAGCAAGCATCCGACAGGACATACACTGGAATCTCTCAGAACACAATATGCTGGTGATAAAATGAATGCAGCCATCAAAACCAACTGCACTGGCATGGGGGTGGAATCGGTTTTCTAAGATTGGGAGTGGGAAAGGAGATTAAATAGTTAGGTGTGCCATATCTTTAAGAGAAGTCATGAATGCCAAACAGTAATAGAATACCAAATCTATACATTCGCAAGCAAATTCCAAACTTTGCTAATTCAGTCTAGAGACTCCGAGTTCAGACGAAATTCTGATGCTCAGAATAGCAGTAGTTTACTCCTGTGGTTTTTTTCTTTCCTGAAGTTTCTATTTAATTTAGCAGAAGCAATGTCATCAGCAACAATGTCATGGGCACATCTGAGGCCATGCTAGTGCATAGTAAAAAAAGAAAAAAAATACAACAACCCACTGCTTCTGCAAAAGCTGAATTTCCAAACGAAGCACTTACTCCAAACTGACAACCATCATGCATCCTAGGTATAAAATTTCCACTGGCCTTTTTATTATTTTAGTCATCTCATAATTTATAATAAATAGGATAATTGTAACTGATAAATATGTCTCTTTAGTAAACAAAGGAATGAAGGATCGGTATTTATACAGGATGCATAACTGTAAAAAATATAGATAAATACCATCATTAAACTCTGCCAATGAAAAGATTACTGGCTTCAAGAACAGTGTTTAGACACAGAATTACTGTAAAAATCATATTGTACTTAGTACCTCAGCATATTTTTATCAAATTAAAATCACAAAAATTAAAACAAAATAGCATTTTAAAAAGATTTTTGACCTCTAGTTCCAAAACTACTGTTGATACATAAAATAAAAACATTTCTTAATGATTATCCATTTGAGAGACTTTACATAAAATTATGATATCTCCTAGAAAAATTTAGATGAGAAAATTTCATTCCCCTAACAAATTCAGTGTATAAAACTGCAAAAGAAAATCAAGCAATGAGAAAAATGTGGAAAAATACTGCAGAAGTGGTTAATACCTTTTGGGCTAGGATAAGTCTTGACAAAATTCTTACATAAGCTCACCAAGGAAGAGATGAATGTGTGTAAAGCGTTTCTGCACTCAGACACACGCACGCACACAGACACACGCACACCCTCACCCACACGCTTTTCTCTTTTTTACAATCAAATATATATAAGCGTAAGTTCAGCTTTCTACATTATGTTAGTGTACAATAATTGTTTCACCTCATATAATTACATTTGAGTATTCTTGATTAAGAAAAATTCAGCAGTTTTTGAAAAGAAGGCTGCATTTACAGTGCATAGCTGTAACAAAAAAGAACGTCATACAGTATGTACATAAATAAAAATACTCTATTTAACATTTGTAAATACTCAACTACTTTAGAGAACGTAGCAAATAAACTATCTGTGCACACACCCAGATAGTTATATCCAACTCTCATTAATAATGTAACACCACGTCCGCTCATTAGAATAAATCGCTGAACAAGCTGCACATTTGACCATTAACAAGGCTTTGAAAATTTTGCTGTGGAAGATCAACGTTGTAGACATTTACATGGGTGTCAGAATTAAAAGACGAAACATCAAAATGTTAGGGAAGTTTGAGCCTTTCATTTTCTCTTCTGCAAGGAATAAAAAAAAAACCACAAAAAAAAAACCCCACGCAAACAAAACAACAACAACAACAAAAAAGAAATAAAAGAAAAATCCTAAAACACAGATTGTAGGCTTCTGGGACCTGTGGTTTCTTCTGGATTGTCATATTATCACTGCGTTGTGAGAAGCTTCATTTAAAAAAAAATAAAATAATGCAGTGTCTGATTCCCAGACATCAGCAGCCATAGTTCTCAAATCGTTTTTTTTTTGTTTGTTTTTGTTCTTTTTTTGTTAAAATGCAGTATGTACAGATTTTGCAGTTCATCGTTGTACGCGTATCTCTGTGGAACTGCTGCCATGTCTTGTGGTTTGCATCGCACTCGCGAGGAACGCCTGGCTCCCTCACCACCGATCACCCGCGAAAGCAAAGCTGACACCCATGGACACACATGTGCTTACTGGACAGCCATCCTGCCTCTCCACTCGTCGAGCAGCTGTGTTCATGTAAACCATGGTTTTGAACAGAGAGTGTAAAATAGGAGAAATTCCTAAGTATGACTTTTTAATTGTCCATTATTGAAGGACGTGATGTCCGTGAGGTATTCGCCATCCCTCCGTGTTCCTCAGGTGTGACGCATGTTACCTACGCAGGCTCCGCTGTGCCTCTTTAAGTAAACTATCAAAATCCATGGAGTCATACTTGCTTTTAGTGGAAGCAGGATCAAAATCTTCTGAGTTTGAATCTGAAACCCAAAGAGATGCAAGTTCAGGTAAGAGGCAAGAACGGCTGGTGACTACTTACATTGTTTTCTTCATACAATGGAATGAACAAAGCACTGCAGAAACAATCCACTTGCGACCACAGCTTCATAGGAATGAGACGATAAAAGCCCAGAAATGGTCATCAGAGAAGCTTTAGGTATGGATGGAGCTTTCTGGTAAAAAGCAGGACTTAAAAAAAGCAGTACACATCATTGGGGCATACCATAAACTGCATGTAAATATAGAGCAGGTAAACTCAAAATGGTTTCTCCCAGGACTTGAGCACCGACACACTGCTATGTATAGGTCTCCAAGCAGTCCAGATAATCTTGACAGATGCTTTACCCAAAACTCCACCATCGTTTTGCAATTGTTATTCTGCAGCATGCAAGAGCCAAGACACTCCTCCTGAGAAAGGAAATAGCGGGTGGTGCTGCAGAAAGCCAGGGCAGCCCGTGGGCAGCACGCAGGGGACACTGCTGCTTCTGCCTGCCCTGCCTCGGGGTCTTGTACAAGTCACTGCACCTCCCTGAATCTGTTCTTCCTTCCACTCTGATTTTTTTGGAGTTTGCTTGTTTAGAGCATGAGCAGTTCAGTGAAGGGCCTCTGCACGGCCATACAAGCAATCTCAGGTGGGCTCCTCAGCTTCCTGCAGCATACGTAATAAGTCACAGCAGCAATAATGGTCCAGCTCCTGTGACCTGCAATACCTGCTCCAGCTTTGCTAGTTGCTCAGGCACAGACGTCAGCCTGTTCCTAGCGCAGCGGAGGGATTGTACGCTTGTGGCCATACAGGTCCAGTACGGCAATTATTGACATGGCTGCAAGCATTGAATTTCCTTTTGGAGCCATCCCTGCTTAACGCTGACTCTCCCCAGTTCCTGTGCCACAGCTCCTTTACAAGAGTGCCCTTTTCTTGCCATTTCTTGTGTTGAATTAATCAGAACTCCCCATCTACTACTATAAGACACACTGTGCATTAAATGTTCATTACAAGTTCTGTTAAGACAATATCTTCTCACAGAGGAGAGGTGTTAAACTTCTGACTACTATTTTCAAGTGTTTTCTTTCTTCTGTACTCAACCCAAGGCTGATTAATTCTCTCTGTCCTTGTACTAGCTCATGAATTTTAAAGTTCATCCTGCCATTTCCTTATGTAGCTCTATCAGATGCTCTGCAAAATACAAGGAATGCAGTCTGAAGTAGAGAAGCTCAAGCTGTCAGCAGGACAAAGTGAAAATACTCTGCTCACAGATACTCCGGGAATCCCACTCAGTACGGAGAGATCTGCTGGGGAATACTCCCAGTGATGAATAATGTTCAAGAGGGTTCCCTTCAGACAAGTTATTTTAAACCCAGGATTTCTGAGATACAGGGACGACCCTGGCTTCCACTGCTGAAGATAAGTCAAATCAAGTCAAGACTTCAATCTGTTTTTACTGTTTTTATCAGCCTGCATTTCGACAAATGCCTTGCTACTTTTTATATTTTCAACATCAACCCTATATCTCTTCAGCAGTCAATTGCCTTTTCTTAGCTTTACATTATCTGTTTAGCCACTGAAGTGAATTATAGCATATTCATTGTGAACAATGCGTATCATCTTTATCATTTATTCTGAAAAGACATCAATTGGTTAGAAAAAATGTATCTGTATTCAATTCCTGCGTTGTACAAAGCCGAGGGCAGCACATACAAGATTTCATTAGCACTGCGTTACAGGGTTATGAGAGATTTTAATGACTGTGGTCATTTATTCATAAAAAACCACAATATCTGATTAATATAGATTCAACGGCAAAATGTCCCTTGCTATTTTATTCAGAAAAAAGCATCTCCCATACCTTTAGTCTATTTATACAGGTATCAGCAAAGGCTTAGCATTTAATGAATACTTTACATTTTAAAAGCTAATTAAATAAGAGGTGAGTTTATAATATATTACAATATTACAGAATATGTTCGGGTAGTCCACACGGTCTCTTTATGCATATACTTAACATCAGTATTCATGCTGTAAGAGTTTTAATATCTCCAAGCATCCCTGCAAGGGGAAGCACCACACCCTGACCCAGAACATAAGACAGAACCACACTTTTTTGCCCATGCAGGACCAGGACAGACCCAGATGTGTTATCGCAGCCAGGATGCACACTTGGGACTGGAGTTATCATGGTACACTGGGGTCTGGAGACTGGTATGTACACTGCCCCACATCAGAGGGACAGCAAACATCAAGAGATTTGCTAGGCTCTCCACAGGCTGGAGCCTCTTACATCATGACCAGAAGTCCCTGCAAGGAGACACCTTCATACATAGATGCTTATGCACAATTTAAGAACCACTTGTTCTGTGGTCTTTGCTATCCTAAGGGTCATATTTGATCACAAGCGCCTCTAGCTTTCAAGCCTGGGAAACTATGAATTGTGTTTAAGGATTGTCTCTGGCAAATTCTACACGTCTACAGTACAACTCATAGCAATGTAAGAATCACAAAGAATTTTTGGGTGAAAGGCATCTACTTTGCTCTTGTTTATAGCTCATAAAAATAAGTCAGATATCAGAACCATGCAGTTATAGCATAGCAATGAATAGTAATACATGCAGGAGGCTTCTGTGGGGCTATCATTTCAATACAGAAATGTATTACTGAATATTGGACACTTATTTTTGATAATGACGGAAATGGGCTTTAAAAGAATTTTCACGGTCTGAAGTTAAAGCTGAAAGAAGCCAGCTCAGATTATAGCTCAGATTTGTAGACTTTTAAACTTCTTGCAGCAAGTGAAAACCACTTCCTTTAATTCCTCTCAATCATTTAAACAATACAAGCAACAAACAAAAAAGAAGGAAACTCTAAATTCTCCTGAGTTACAAGGCTCCAGTTATGTACTTTAATTCACATAGAGCAAAATACCTACCTAGGTCTGCATAGTTTGACTTGCAAAATTGCTTGCGTCCACAAAAGTACAGCTCAAAGTCAGGTTCATTTGACCTGCGTAAAGTGTATCCATTTTCAAGAGCAGCAAAGGCGTCACAAGTATAGCGGTAGGTGATGAAACCATAGCTGTCTCTGCAATCGAAAAATACATCAGTGAACTAAAAAGAGTTAATGCACATTAGTGTAACCCCTTCCTGAAAGCAAGAACTTGCAGGAGATCCAGCAGTGGAAACGCCATAAGTACTGCACCCATTTATCAGCATGATTGTCCTGTCATGCAGCTAAATACTTATTTCTGGGACAGGAAATCTCAACTAGCAAGATTAATAAATAAGGATGAAAGAAAATAAATAAGGTTTTGAACTCAGCATGTCATCTGTCACAGCGCTTACATTGGTAACTCCCATACCAGTAATCTTACTGCCGTAATTTTTTACATATGGCAGCTCCCAAACAAGAAGTAATCTCAAAAGTTCTTACCCATCATCCCGCAAATTTACTGTGCACTCCTCAATTTCACCAAAAACTTCAAACCGGTCCCTCAGTTCTGTTCGAGTTGTGTCAGGTCTGATTTTCCCCAGATAAATCACACGACGTTCTTCCTATTGAGAAGAAGCAAGAGGGAAGTCATATTTTTAACAAATGTTTAATAGAGATGAACCTATACATACAGGCATGCAAATACACACACATGGGTGTGCAGAGGATGTATAGTTATAGTATTAGTCTCTAGTGGAAGACCTACTGCATCCTGCTTGTAAGTGAAATAGCTCTTTCCTGGAAAGCATCTAAGGTATTTAAATGACACTACATTTGTCAGGTGGTGTGCTCCTGGAAGGTTTCACTGTTTGCTGGCTGTCACTGTTCTACTGTGCCCTGACAGACAACTCCCGTTGTATCCTACTGCACCTTCTTCCCTTCCACCTTTCTATCACTTGTCCTCCAAGACTGTTGAACTCTTCCAAACCAGGAGGTCTCTTTCTCTTGCCATCTATACAATACTAGGCAAAACCCATCTTAGTTGTGGAATCATATAAAATGATATAGTAATTGCATAAATGTACTATAAACATAACAAAACGTATTACAAACAACATTATAAACTCGGATGACTTAACAGCTGATTCCAGCTGTTCCACCATAATCCATACCTTATAATAGTGGGAAAACTGTTAGGGGGTCCAGAAAAAAATTTTTATTAAAATAAATATTGCTGGGGGGAAGGCAGGACAATAAAATATATCCTGTGGTCACCATTACCTCTTTGGTTTCTTTGGAAAATAAAGCCTGACTGAATTCACTGATTTTTACAGGCTAGGGTGTCATTTGCATGTTCCTTTGATACTAGGAGCAAAGCATCAAAGATAAAACTCTGGAGTCAGGGTCATATCCTTCCTTCCTGAGTGGAAACGCTCAGCAGAATGACAGAAGGGCTAGGAAATCCTGCGAGAGTCACTTTATGAATTTTTGGATGAACACCTTACTGAGGATAGAGCCACTTAGTGAGCTGCAAGCAAAGCAAAAGGCAAAAAGAGATCTTCAAAACACTGACCTTAAGGTAATCAGAGAAAAGAAGCACCAGCTACACCTGGCTTGGGTGCTCAGCCTTGCTGTTTTGGATTACCTCTGGTCTGAAGAACTCTGGCACTATCGGCCCTGCTGTTCATCCCTTACACATCCGCACATTTGTCCCATAAATCGAACCACCACACTACATTCTCAGCTGGCGTAAATCTGTCAGTCAGTGGGGCAATGTCAGTTTAAACCATCAGCTTTGGCACCTGAGACTTGCGCAGAATTTAGGTGCCGAATGCCAAAGGAGCTATACTGACTGCTGAGAATTCATGACTATCGTAACCTGGAGGTGCCTAAAGGCTAATGGCACCTCAACACGTGATGCAAAAGGCTCTAGGGACCTAAATACAGACTTGCATTCCCACTCAGAAACATCCCAGCCTGAAGAGACAAGTAGCTTATAGCGTTACAATTCAGATATAGCATGAAAACTATCTTTTCCATGAGTCCCCACAGAGGCATAAGGTGCTAGTCATTCTTGGACCACAGACAACAGGATTGAGATCAGACCAAAACACATGTAGAAACAGAAAAGATACTGATGCCTCTTGTTTGCTTGTTTGAGCACTCATTTGAGATAAAGGGATCAGAAGTCGTCTTGATTATGGGGACCAAAATCTTGGCTCCCACTTCCCAGGAGAGCACTCTACTCCCAGGAACTGCGTAATGCAAAATAAACAAACAATTCTTGCAGCAGGAAGCTGAAAGTAATATATCTGCCTCCCAACAGATACTCCTTATCACTATCACACTCAGTTGACTGTTTTTGATGACTCTTTTCCTGGCCTCACAAATCTCAGGGGCTCAGATCCAGATAATCTAAGCTCCTGAGAAACAAAAGCAAGTTCATAGCTCCAGAAAACAGGGATCCAAGAATCAAATACTCCTACCCCAAAGCCCCACCCAGTAAGGTATGGCAGAAAAAGTGACCACTGGAACCACCTGGGTCCTTTATAGCTCCCTGCTCAGCCCAGTGGAGTCCCTGGTTGCTCTAGCAAAGTATGTATATGCTCTCCTTAATGAAGGGGATCAGGAAACTACCGTCTCTTTTGATTACATAAGTAACCAAGATGACTGTCTTGGTGGTCCTCCATAACCCTGCTGGGACAAACATTTTCATTATTAAATTTTATGCCTTCTAAAGTGCGTGGTCCAAAAGCTGCCCTTGTTCTCTGACTTAGCAGTGCAGCCTGGAGAAGTTAGCATGGCTAAAGGAAGGATAAGTGTGTTCATGGGTGGACATCAATTTAGGGAAGAGGGTAACTTTACAGACAGCTGCTGCTTTTTATCTCTGTCTATAATGTGTCCCAGTCCAGAGCCCTGACCCTCCTGGCAGAGGAGTTTGGGTAGGGCTTCTGTGAACTAGGGACTGTAGAGTGCAAGCAACAGAAATCTGCATTTCTTCCATTTTCCCCATTTTAATTCTGCTTGCTTTCAGTATGGTTGGGTGCCATAAACTTCAAAAACAGGAAAATCTGCATATGCACAGTAATTACTTTTTCAGACTGTTTTACCAAATCAAGGATTTAACTGCACTGAAACACTTGATAAGAAACAATTCCATTGATACTTGCTATTGAACCTAAATGACTGACCAGATGGAGCAGAACATAACATAGCAGACTGTCTAATATACTTTAGCTGAGATAATACATCTCAACTGAAAAAACATAATGTTTCACTCACTGACATGGAGATTGTTATATTACAATGTGATGGAAATAACTATTGCACGCTC